ATGTGCTTGACACAATGGATGGATGGATGGTATGCGTTAAGTTGTGTGAGCCCCCGATAAAATGATTAAAAAAATAACTCAACAACTTTCCCAATTACTTTCCAGCGCAAGGTTATCCATAAGCTGTGAGATGAGAGTAGTGTAAGAAAATGTTAAGCTGACATTGGACCAGAGTTCGAATCCCAGCCCTGCAAGAGGTCATCTACGTCTTAATTTTATTTTCTTTGAGATTAAGATTCGCTCGCTGGATGTCTGGCTTGTGAACCTGAAATAAGATAAAGTGCAAGGCACCCTGGTGGCGTAGTAGGTAAAGAGTTCGGCTGCTAGTCGCCAAGTTAAGCAATTTGAGCCCACCAGCCTCTGAGATGAACAGTCTCTAAAACCCACAGGGGCAGTCCACTCTGTCCTATGAGTCAGAATCAACTCAGTGGCAGTGAGTTCCGTTTGGGGAATTTGAATTAAAGTGTTTGGCATATCAGGTGTGCTTTTACAAAAGTAAATTCCCTTCCACCTTTTTGAATCCAGAACTAGAGAACTTCGTTAATTACAGTAAAACTAGGCAGGGGAAAGAGGTGGTGAATCTTCTCCCTCGCATTTTAGGGGTGACCTGGAATTGAGTTAGACAAGTCATCAGTTTGCAGGTGATAATGGAAGCCCTGGGAGTAAACCAGCAAGGCTGGAGAATGCAGAGCCTGAGAGAGCCAGGGCAGACATTGAGGAACGCCAAGAATGCAAAGATGACTCGGAGTACTCATAAAGGAAGGAAAGCAGAAAACTGTGATGTTTTAGGATCCATGATATCAAAAATGTCAATAAAGGATAATACTCATCTGTTCACTCTTGTATTACTGAGGCCTCGCTGTACCTCTCCCTCCTCTAAATAATTTGTTGAATTAATAAATGTATGATTAAGTGGCCAGTGATATCAGCTGCTACAGAAAGAAGGGCTGATAATTAATTGTCCACAGGATTCAGCTACGCAATGGTCTTTGATGTCACGATAGGGAACATCAGAGATAGGAAAGCAAAAGCTGTGCTAGCGAGGCTTGTGGATTAATGGGAAACTATGAAATGAAAACAGGAGTTATAGTTCACTCCATAAGAAAATGTGAGGCTTAGCAAATGTTTTGAAGATGAGGGCGATGAATGTACAAATGTGCTTTACACAATTGATGTATGGATTGTGATAAGAGTTGTATGAGCCCCTAATAAAACTATTAAAAAAGAAAAAGAAAGAAAATGTGAGGCTGGAAGAGTGTAGCAGTTACATACTCTGCTGTCAATTTGGGAAGGGGTGGAGTCTAGCCTGTCAATCGGGTCACAGCTTGATGACCTCATTTTGGAGGCTCAGTGGGAGATAAATAGCTCACTGGAGGCCAGACACACTCTCTCTGCTTCGTCATCTTCCTGCTGACAAACCAGTCAGCCACATAGATTCCTGGAGTTGGAGGATCCATGTAGAGACCCATGCCAGCGCTGAGATGCTTCCACTGCTACGGGATCCACAAGATCGCACCCACTGGACTGTGATCTTCCTGCATTTGGTGTCATTGCATATGTTGCATGAGTCTGAAGAGGAATTTAGGAATTTAAACTGGTATTGGACATATGGGCTAATATCGGACTTAGGGACTTGATCTGGCCTGGGCTAGGATGTTTTCTTAATATACAATTACTCTTTTATATAAAGCTCTTTCTTGTAGACATGAGTGTCTGTGAATTTTGTTTCTCTAGTCTACCCAAACTAACACAAAAAGATACAGGAAGTTACTTGAGGGAGAGTGGCAAGGGTTTTGTTCTTTGTTTGTTTAAATTCTACACTCAGGCATTTTAACACAATCACTTTAGCAATATCACCAGCGTTCATTTATCTTTCGTATGTACCTAAGTCCCAAATCTTTATCTCTTCCCTTGACTTCATTACCAAATTACCAGCCACACTGATGGTTACCTTCAAACATATGGCTCACCAAAATCTCAAATTAAGTCATCAGGGAGCCCAGTTCCAGAGAAAGGTAAATTTTATAAAGAAGCAGCCACCAGAAAACTCTAGGAAGAAATACAGTCAGAATGCCCCTGTAGATGTGAAGACTTGTCAAGAGGCCAGTGTGTGAAAAAAAAGACACCATGCTTGGTAGAGGGCCAGGGAGAACGAGGAAGACCCTTGACAAGGGAGCCTGACACTGGCTGCAACAAGGACCGCCAGCATCCCCATTGTAAGGCTGGTGGAGGACTAGGCAGTAGTTTGTTCTTTTGTACATAGGGTTAAATTGAATCGAACAAACTCAACAGCACCTAACCGTGAGATTACTAAGCAACATAAAAATCTGTAAAAAGCAAATCTTTTCTCAAATGTAAATTTCTCTTAAGAGTTGTTTTGGTAGAGTTAAAAAAGTTTTTCAACTACAATAAAGGTTACAAGATCTCCTATTGAAGCAACACCCCCCACCCCCCAAAAAGAAACAACTAACCCAAACTTGTTTTGAGAGTTCACTTGATGCCATCTTTCATCAGGGGAATGAATCGTGCCTTCTGATTCTAGCTAGGAGACAGGCTGGAGGGAGGGAGGGGAGGGAGGGGCTGAGCAAATCCAATCACCTGTATCCACAGTGCAGTGGGGACAAAGCTGACTCTCTGTAAAAGCACTTTGCAAATCAGCAGGGTTTATCAGTTCTGACATACACACTGTGTATTAGTCTGGGTACTTTGGAGAAACAAATCCACAGCAACTCACGTATAAGAGAGAGTTTTATGCAAAGAAAATGTGCATCACGAAAACAGCCCAAACCAATGCTGCCCAAGCCCACAAGTCCAACATTAACCCATACCCAACACCAGTCCACAAAGTCCTTCACCTCACAAAACAGAGGCAATGATGCCGACTGCAGGAGGAAAGCTGAGTCCGTGAACGTGTAAGCATCTCAGCACTGGCAGGGGTCTCCATAAGGCTGCTCCAGCACCCAGGGCTGCATCGGGATAGATCCATGTGGCTTCTCCTTGGGGATGTCTTGTAGGAAGTCAATCTTGCAAGCTGAAGCAGGGAACTGCTAAGGCAGCTGCACCCGGTGCAACCATCACAAGAGACCCGAGAACTAGAAAGGCGAGGCTTCACCACCCATTTATCCCTCCGCCTTTCAACCAGCACCACATGTTATTATCGGCCAGGCTGGCACAATTAACTAACTCACACTGAAAACTACTTTGTAAAGCCTTCCCAGTTTATACTGTTTAGAATTCATCAGGATCCCTCCGCTTTAGTGCTGTATTTTTATTGTTAATGTGGCATATCCTACTGTAGAGAAGGTGAAAGACCATTGCATCGTGTAGACCAAATGACTACAGTCATAGCTGAATTTAACCAAAACCTAGATAGAAGGTCAAGGGTTCATGAGGGAGGGGGGAGCGGAGAGAGGGGGAAAAATGAGCTGATGCCAGGGGCTTAAGTGGAGAGCAAATGTTTTGAGAATGATGAGGGAAATGAATGTACAAATGTGCTTTACACAATTGATGTATGTATGGATTGTGGTAAGAGTTGTGTGAACCCCTAATAAAATGATTAAAAAAAAAAAAAGGTAATGAAGGTACCAGCTGGGGCATTTCCCTTCCCCCTGAGACCCTGCCCTGCATGAACTGACCCAGTGGCTGCAAGAGGGCGCCCAAAGTTAGCCACGATCTAGACCAGGCAGCACTGGGCAGGGTTTCCTTCGTTGTACACAGGCCCGCTATGTGTGGGAAACAACTCGATGGATGATTGACAGCAATGGTGCGAAGGTTTCTGTCTTCTGCTGGGTCATTTCAAACCCTTTCGACAAAGCAACGAAGCGAACAATCACCACCTTCCGCCTTGAAAGCAGAGAACAACCCATCTCCAAACGTCTCGATCCCTTGGCTCTAAAGAGCCAAGAACACGGGCGTCGGCCGCCAGCCTGAATTAAATCCTGGGGCGTGGGAACTCGGCGCGGGGGTGCCCCACACGTCGCCTCCCAGGACTTCCACAGAGAGCACCAGATCTGCAGCTGTCATCCGTGCGCGTCCATTTAGGGTAAATTAAACGGGCGGAGTATTCGCGAAGATGACTAGCTTCCAGGGGGCTCTTTAATCTCCGCGAGGGCGGGGGCGGAAGTCCCGGAGGGCCATAGAGTGCTCTACTTCCGGCTTCGGCGTCGCGTTGCGGGCTAGAGCGCCGCTCCTCTCGCTGTCCCCGAGGCCCTGGAGGCTTCGGTTTCCGGCTCCCTCTTCTGTCCCCTCGAGGGTGGCGTGGGGCCTCGCGCCTCACTGGGGTCAGCCAGCAAGGGCGGGAGCGGGCGGGGCTGCCTCGCAGCCAGCAGCGGGGCCCGCGTTGACACCTCTGAGTCCTGGCGACTAAGGGGACCCGAATCGGAGCCTCCAGGACGGCAGCTCGAGTGAACGGCCTTCGTGCGTCCAAGGCTGGTTCCCACAGTTACGCTCTGCCCTGCGAAGTTCAGCGTTTGACAAATCACTGCGGCCCCGCTAACTTTGTTCTTAGCCTCCTAATGTGAGCAATCCCTCTCCACGCCTCCAGAAGAGCCCCTTCCTCCCCCAGTTAAAGCTCGCCCCCTTAGTTCAGCGCTTCGGCTATCTGGCCGAAAAACAAAATACCTGTACGACTGCGCCCCTGCTAGATCAAAAGCAAGGTCCATGCCCACTACAGTCTGCGGGGAAAGTGAAGCCAGGAAGCCATGGCTGAGCACGGGGCTCACATCACAACTGCTGCTGGGGTGGATGACCAGCCATCCATCTTTGAGGTGGTAGCACAGGACAGTTTAATGACGGCAGTGAGGCCTGCCCTGCAGCATGTGGTCAAGGTAAGGTATGAATGCCCTCAAAAGTCAGGACCACGGAATAAAAGCCAAATTAATGTGCTAAGTTGGTAGCTTAGGGTTTGAAGTAACCAATTAGTGTCTAATTCAGGTCTGACGATATAATTGTTAAGTCTGTGCAGAGGCCTGTCTTGACTGGCTAGCACTTCAGGAAAGTATTAGGGTAGTCCCAAAAGAAGGGATTTATTTAAACCCAAAATGTGTAGAATTTTTTGAACTCAGGACATGTAAATACAAGGTCTGGTAACTGTAATGCAATGTATTTCATGCACTTAATTATTTTGTTTCAGGTCCTTGCAGAATCAAATCCTGCCCACTATGGCTTCTTTTGGAAGTGGTTTGATGAAATCTTTACTCTGCTAGATTTGCTGCTGCAGCAGCACTACTTGTCTAAAACTAGTGCTTCGTTTTCTGAAAACTTCTACGGCTTAAAGCGGATTGTACTGGCAGACACACACAAGTTTCAGAGATTGGCCAGTGCTGGTCTCCCAAAGCAGCAGCTCTGGAAATCAATTATGTTCCTAGTTCTGGTTCCCTATCTGAAAGTGAAGTTGGAGAAGCTGGTTACTAGCCTGAGAGAAGAGGATGAATATTCTATTCATCCCCCTTCTTCTCACTGGAAGCGATGTTACCGGGCCTTCCTGGCTGCCTACCCGTTTGTTAACATGGCCTGGGAAGGCTGGTTTCTTGTCCAACAACTCCGGTACATCCTAGGAAAGGCTCAGCATCACTCGCCACTGCTGAAGCTGGCTGGCGTCCGGTTAGGCCGACTGACCGCTCACGATATACATGCTCTGGAGCACCAACCAGTTGAAGGCAGCATGAAGCAACCACCAGCCAGGTGAGGCCATAACATTTCAAGATACTCGTTATTCGTACATTTTAAAATCATGTTCATAAAACAAGGATTTCAGATCGTCATCATGGTAACCAGTGCTCATTGTCCTAGCTGCTTATGACCCACTTGGTATATGCCAGCCCGTGTTTCACATACATTCTCTCACAACCCAAGGAAATCAACACATCAGCCCCATTTAGCTACTGAGGAAACTAACCCCAACAGAGAAGTGCCTTGTCAAGACCACATGTACAATGTGGCAAAGCCAAGTGCATGCCAGGTTAATGGAATTCTTAGGATTATACCCTTCACTGTGATACTGTCTCACTGTTACCAAGTTGATGCTGACTTACAGCAACCCTATAAAACAGAGTACAACTGCCCCTGTGGATTCCAAAACTGAGCCCTGGTGTAATGGTTATGCATTGGACTGTGATCTGCATGGCTGGCAGTTCAAACCCACCACCAAGCAGCTCTGAGGGAGAACGACTGGGCGTTCTACTCCCATAACAGTTGCAGTCTCAGAAACGTACAGGGGGTCATTATGAGTCAGCACAGAGTCTGTTTTTAACTCTTTACAGTAGAAAGCCCCATCTTTACTACTAATAATTTGGGTTTTTTTAAAAACTTTTTTTTAATTAATAATTTGGTTTTTACACAAACACCTATCCCTCGATATTGTAGTTAAAAAATCTTTTTATCATGATTTAGGTGAAGGTGTACAGATTATCAGTTTCATATTCAACAATTTATACACATTTTAATTTTTTAAAAAGATCATTGTATTGGGGGCTCTTACAGATCTTTTAACAGTCCATACATCAATTGTATCAAGCATATTTGTACATATGCTGCCATTATGTAAACATTTACTATTTGAACCCTTGGTATCGACTTTTTTCCCCTCCCACTCTCATACATTAATTTACCCATTTCAATCCCGTTATTTCTGCAGCTTATCCCACTTCCCCCCAGTGTTTACTGTCTCCTTTGCTACCCTCCATTATTCTAACGTGGAGTGGGTGGCTATGGAGAGTGCCCTGCAGTGAGTCCAGTTCCAGACCAGAAGGGTGACTGAGCCCTTACTCACTGCCATTGGGTCAGTGCCAACTCAGAGACCCTATAGGACACGGCAGAACTGCTGCTGTACGTTCGGAGACTGTCACTCTTTATGGGAGTAGAAAGCCTTCTTTCTTGTGCAAAGTGAGCTGGTGGTTTCTAACTGCTGACCTTGCCAGTTAGCAGCCCACACCTAAGCACTGCCCCCCCAGGGCTCATAAGCCATAGCCTTGGGGACCCCACCAGTCTCTATCTGACCAAGTCTGGTAGAAATGATTTTGAGTTCTGTTCTACACATTCCTGATGCACCATGTTCCACCACAAAAAAATGGTCGATGCAGTCAATGTCTCTGCTAATATCGCAGAAAACTAAAACTTTAATCCTGTTATTAAAAACAAAATATAGCACCTAAGCTCCTAAAATATGGAAATAGGGAATTATTTAACCAATCATACAGGGACAATCCCAAATCAGTGATTCTGATGAGTGAGAATGACATTTTTAAAAATCATTTTATTGGGGGCTCATACAACTCTCATCACAATCCATACATACGTCCATTGTGTCAAGCACATTTGTCCATTTGTTGCCATCATCATTCTCAAGACATTTTCTACTTGAGCCCTTGGTGTCAGCTCTTCCCCTCAAGAATTCCATTTCTAGCTTGATGTGATTGTCGCTTACCACCTTTGTGCTCTCCACAGTGTTCGTGAGAAGATCAAGTTGACTCTGAAGAAAGTCGTGGGCGGTGCTGCCTTATCCCTCTCTACTGGCCTCTCTGTGGGCGTCTTCTTCCTGCAATTCCTTGAATGGTGGTACTCATCCGAAAATCAAGAAACCATCAAGTCCTTGACTGCCCTGCCTACTCCACCACCACCTGTACACCTAGACTACAACTCTGATTCTCCACTACTACCCAAAATGAAGACCGTGTGCCCACTATGTCGGAAAACCCGGGTGAATGACACTGTGCTTGCTACTTCTGGCTATGTGTTTTGTTATCGCTGTGTGTTTAATTATGTGAGGAGTCACCAAGCTTGTCCCATTACAGGTTACCCCACAGAAGTACAACACCTGATCAAGCTGTACTCTCCTGAGAACTGAGAGTAATTGGCACCCTCTCTAACTACTGCACTCTCAGGTCACAGGGCTGAATTGTCACTGTTACTTCTCAGCCTCCATTCATTAAACAAGTACATTTCTTTAAAAGGTTAAGAGGGGGCTTTAAGAAGTTCCTGGGAAAATTCTATTATCTTTTCATTCTATTTTTCCACCAACTCTTTGAAGCCCCCCTCATATACCTATTTGAGCCTAAACTTTTAGACCGCTCCCTAGAGCTTCACTTCGAGTTAGCCAAGATGAGATGAAAGTCAAGATCGCCAGAAGTGAGGGCCATTGTAGAGGGCGTGGATAAAAGGGATTAATTGATCCTTAAGTTTTTCCTATGTCTTTTCTTTTTCCTGTCTTTTCTTAAAGAACAAGTACAGAAGCCCTTAGATCTCATAAGTGGGTGGGCAGGGAAAGCAAATTTCTGTAGAAAACCACCTGCCAATGAGGTAGAGGTCATAGTCTTAGAAAACAACAGCTCCTTCGATAAACTGACCATATAGTTCGTCAACTTTCAGAGATTCATGAGCCATAAACATCTTTTTTGGGAGACTCATTAAAGGAAAATAACAAGTGTTTATATGTACAGTAGTCTGAAGATTGCTATGTGGAAACAAAGCTGACAAGCAATAAAGCAATGCAAATAAAAAACACTGAACTAACAGCCTGTGTAAGGTCTGTTTGATAAGGTCTTTCTGCTTGTTCTGCTAGTTTGTTAAACTGGCATAAATTATTCTGCCTATTACTAAAGTTTCTATGAAACACTTGAGTTTTAAGAATAAATGTTTCTGTTAAAGAGTGGTCTCGTGATTTTGTGGAGACTTAATTAGATGAGATGTTTAAAATAAGTTTTTCTTTCACTTTTGACATTTTGGGGTATTTTTCTATTGATTAACATTTTGCTTTTTGCTAATCAACAGCTGGAGTAAAAGCCTTTAGTCAACAGTGTTTAGTCTTATGTGAAATACTTTGTATCAGAAATATTGCAGAAACAATTAACTTGTGTTGGAAAATTCATTCCACTGCCTTGTCAGGTTGTGAAAATAAAGGGTCAGGGGAAAAAATCACTCTTAAAACAAGAAAGATGGAAAACAAAACAAGAACGATGAAAAATTTAAGTACTTCTGCCAAGACAGGTATTTTCCAATACTTCTTGTTCATTTTTTAGCAATTCAGCCTGTTCTCTAGTAGGAAAAAGGTGATAAAATTTTGATGGAAATAACATTGGGCTTGGTATCATATAAAGGGGACTATCACATACCGTATTTGCAAAGAACATCCTGCTAAACCAAGTGCTGATATCAGGTTGATTTCAACTTACGGTGGCCCCAGGTGTTAGAGAGAACTGTTCAGCAGGGGTTTCTTGGCTGGGCTCTTTACTCAATTTCATGGCAGGCTTTTCTCTCACAGCTGCTGGGTGGCTTTGAGCCATCAACCTTTAGGTTAGCGAGCAATTGTAAATAAATCACCACTCAGGGACCTTATAAATCTAACATAGTTTACAAAAACAAATACCAGAATTCATGAAAGCACTTTTTCAAAAGATAAACACTTTTTGTTTAAAAAAATTTATTAAAGTTTCTAACTGGAATGCTGGTTGTTGAAATCTTTTAATCATCTTATGGGGGCTCTTATAGCTCTTATCACAATCCATACATACATCTTGTCAAGCACATTTGTACATATGTTGCCATCATTTTGAAAACATTTTTTCTACTTGAGCCCTTGGTATCAGCTGGTGTCAGCTCCTCATTTTTTCCCTTCCCTCCCACCTTCTCCCTGTTCTCCCAGTCCCTCATGAACCCTTGATAATTTATATAGCTTTTTCATGTCTTACAAGGACTGCTGTCTCCCTTCACCCACTTTTCTGTTGTCTGTACCCCTGGGAAGGGGTTATATGTCGATCGTTGTGATCAGTTCCCTTTATCTCCCCCACCTTACCCTTACCCTCCTGGTATCACTATTCTCAATATTGGTCTTGAGAGGTTTATCTGTCCAGGATTTCCATGTTCTGAGCTCTTATCTGTACCGTGTACATGCTCTGGTCTAGCCAGATTTGTAAGGTAGAATTGGGGTCATGATAGTGGCAGGGGAGTGGGGGTGGAGCATTAAAAACTAGAGGAAAGTTGTGTGTTTCATCGGTGCTATATTGCACCCTGACTGGCTCTTCTCTTCCCTTGTGACCTTTTTGTGAAGGAATGTTCAGTTGTCTATAGATGGGCTTTGGGTCTCCACTCTGCACTCCCCCTCATTCGCATTGATAAGATTTTTTGTTCTGGCTCTTTGATGCCTGATACCTGATCCCATCTATACCTCATGACCACACAGGCCGGTGTGCTTCTTCCATCTGGGCTTAGTTGTTTCTCAGAAAGCACTTTTAATATATTAAAAACCCAGCAAGGGAATGAAACCAGATTCAGGACTAAAATGACAGTCTTCCATGAAGATTTCAAAGGCAGATTTCTGGCCTCAACCTAGGAAGGGAAATGTGAAAGTATCAGTAATTCAAAGGAATATTTAATAAAATGCTTTTAGACACGATAAAAGCATCATCCAAATAGGCTAGAACACAGGAGTGTGGAAACACCACGCTACAATGAGCTCAGAGAGAAGATTAAGGGGTCATGCCCTGGTCAGAGACAGAGCTAACACAATGGCAATACCAGGTCCGACTAGACTTCACTCATCATCGCATCACTGCGGTCCACCTCCTTGTACTATCTGAGGGCAGCCATTGCTCTATTTTCACACCCATGAAAATTTAGGGTTACCTATGGGGAAAAAAGCCTTTATCCATGGGTTTCCAAAATATCTTATCATCTACACTTTGTTTGAAGCAATTCTGTTATATAGACATACACACTTGCACTTTTTAAGCATAGAACAAAGAATTTGAATTTATAGTTCAAAAATGTTTAAGTTAGTCCAAATATCACTTAACAACAAAATCTCAATGTTTTAACAGAACTAATTGTTTAGTTTTAAATGAAAAGCTTCAGAAAAGATATTCTACTACATCCCTTTTTGGAGCAAATCCCAGTTCATTTTAATATTTAACTCAGTTTATAATTCTGCTATCAAAAAGTAGTCAGCATTTTACATATGAATAATCTTAGAGTCTCAGACCCAAAGAGGCTGTGTCCATCAAAGCTCCATAGCAAGTTAAAGGCTATGAGGAAGCTAGACAGAAAACTGTCCACCACCAGGTAGACGTAGTGCCGAGTTGTTTCTGAGCCAAAATGACACTGTCGAACAGAAGTGCCCACAGGCTTCCCCAGCTTTCTCCCACAGATGCTGTAGGTTCAAACCACCAGCCAGCACTTCAGCACTGCACTACCAGGGCTCCTCAACAAACTAAATAATGTTTTAAAAACTTGCTGCCATGGAGTCGATGCCGACTCAGCAAAACCCTATTGGACAGTCCCTGTGAGCTTCTGGACTGTAACTCTTTACACAAGTAGAAAGCCCAGTCTTTCTCGGGAGGTGTTGCTGGTGTTTCCAACTGCTGAGCTTTCGGATCCCAACTCAATGCAGAACCACTGTGTGACCAAGACTCCTCAAGTAGCTAAACAGGTCTGCTTTGATTTTTCCTGGTTCTGACCTTTAGACTGGCTAATGAAGGAGGGCATAGAAATGACAAAGCAAGCAAGGCTGGGAAATCCACAATCTGCATAATCAACTTCTAAATAAGAAAGCTGACAGACAGCATTCATTTATTCTAAATGACACCTGCTGGGGGTAGGCTATCACTGGCATGGAACAGTGCCAGGATCTCCAGACTTTCAGCCTGGTACTGTCAGTGTCTAAACAACTATTCTGTCCTTCCACGACATCCCATAGTTAAAAATGGATAGCTGTTAGTGTGTGTTCTGCATGCAGCAAATGAGCCTTGAAAAAGGAGGAAATTAACATTAAAAGTACCTATTATATAGGGCTACATGTGACCCTTTATCTCATCATCCTCTGCTGGTAAAGAAGGTTAGGAGGGCTTAATTTTAAATAGCTTTGCCTAAGATCATGAAACTTGTGATCAGAGTGAAGCTCTCAAGCAGAGTCCCTGACTTTAAAGCCCATGTTCATTCCAGCAGACCGAAGTGCTGTCTCAATAGATCTCATGCCTCAAGTTTCTCTTCCATTCAACACACTCTGAATTTTACATACTTAGTAACCTTCAACTACTGAGATGTGATTCAATGGCTTTCAAAACTCAAAAGCATCCGCTGGTTCCTTATGACCCAGGAAATCAAAGTCCAAACTACATGACCCACCATTCAAGATGTTTCCAAACACTCAAACTTACCCCGGATACTCTAACCCTAGCATATATGTTGCAGTATGATCTAACTTTTGCAACCTCCATCCGCAAAGTTCCGTGCAAACCCTCCTTGTACTTAAAGGTATCCCTCCAAAATGCCACCTTTTGCATGAAATCCTTTCTCCATCAATCCAAGAGGAAGCATGTCTTTCCTCTGAATTAGGGAAGCATGTTCCTGTGCTTCGGCATATGAAGAAGCCCTGGTGGCTGTAGGGCGTTACACCTCAGGCCTTGATGATCAGCTGTTCCAACCCACCAGTCTGCTCAGAGGGCACACAGACGAAGGCTTCTCCCCTGGAAAGACTTACAGCCTCAGAAACCCAAAAGGTCAGTTCTCCTCTACCCTCCGGGGTCACTGTGAGTCGGGATCAACTCAATGGCAGTGGGTTTGGAGGGGGGTTTGGAGTTATGGTGTCGTACCTATTTCACTTTGTAAAATATTTTAAGACAGAAACATACAGAATTCAAGATCCTTAAAAATCTATCCAATGCCTACCTTTCCGTTTCATCTTCGCTGGGCAGACGGGGCAAAAAGTCCAGGAACATACTGCAGTTACTTTTTGGTTCTCTGCCTTGGCATATTTTCTCCGCCTGAAATGCCTCCCCCACCCCAGTCGATCTGGCGAACCGCTAATTTAAAAAACTTTACTCAAATACCACCGTCTCTGCGAAGTGGTCTGTTAGTCGTTCTCTCCTCTGATTCCCACTGCCTTTCCAGGACTACTTGCCTTTCCCAACATCCTTATCACATTGAGTTCTTAAAGAGCCAGTTTTACTGGCCTTTGCAAGCCAGAATGACCCCTAGGGCATCAATTGAGGAGGTTCAATAAGAGCATTAAATGTAATCAGTAAGTGAGCGCCCCAGTATATTAAACCCTAAACTCATAGATTATAAACACATCAGTCAATTTACCTCCAAACATCGGTAGCCTACCTCAAGCGATTCCCCGTGCTCATTCCCTCAGCCTTCATCTCACCACGTTGCGCTACGCTAAGGCAGCCAATGCTTACATACACCCCAAACCAAAAACTCAACTGCCGTCCAGTCGACGCCGACTCATAGCGAGCCTCTAGGTCAGGGTAGAACTGCCCCTGAGTTTCCGAGACCTGTAACTCCCGTCCTGTCTTTCTCCCGAAGAGCGGCTGGCGGTTTCAAACTGCCAATCTTGCAGTTAGCAGCCCAAAGAGTCACCACGACGCCACCGGGGCTCCTTCCACATACGCGACGGGCCAGTGGTTCTCAACCGTCCATGCCGCGGCCCTTTAATACAGCTCATGTGGCGGTGACCCCCCAACCATAAAATTCTTTCTGTGGCTACTTCATCACTGTCGTTTTGCTGCTATGAATCGGGTGACCCTGGTGAAAGGGTCGTTCGATCGCCAAAGGGGTCGCGACCCACGGGCTGAGAACCGCTGCTCAAAACTCATACTACATTCCAAACTCCGTCAAACCCAGGGAAGACGAAGAGAACCCGCGCTTGGGAGAAAGGCGAGTGAGGCCTAGAAACAAAAGCACAAGCCAGCCACCCACCGTCCAAACTCCTAAAATTCCTCCGCCTTCGCTCCCCTCGGGAGCCCACCCCGACGGCGGAGACCGAAGGCGACGGAACGCGCCGGCTCCCCACACCCGGCCATACCCCTTTCCCGGCGTTCCAACTCGGCTCCGCCTCGCCGTCCCGCCGGCATCCCACAATCCAGCGCGGCCTTCACCGAGCAGCCAATCATCCGGCGCCTCTCGGGTCACGTGGGCGGCAGCGACCAGCCAATCGAAAGCCGAGGAGGGCGTCTTAGCGGTAGCGTCGTAGGTGGAGCTGTTTTCGGTCGACTCTTGCCGTCTGGGGCGCTGTTCTCCGCGTTGGGTCAAGCGCTGTTAGCCCGGGCCGTCCGCGCCCGCTCCCGCCGCCCCACCCCTGCCACTTGGAGGGGACGTGCATCCTAACTACGGTGGCTTTGCGGGTGCCTTCTTTTCGCTGCTGAGAAAGGGTAGTTGAGGCTGGTTGAAGCATTAGGATGCACACCGGGTTAGCTGGGAAAAGGATTAATTCTGGAAATGAGCCCACGCTATGTATTCCTCTTGTGACGGTGCTGGAGATCGGAGTAGACACTTTAGACTATGTAGCCCACTCGGTCCGAGGGGAAGGTCCCTGAGTGTGCCCTCATCTTCTAACTGACCTAAGGGTTAGTGGAGCCGCAGGATAAAGGCCTGGCAATCGACTTCCACACGATTGTGTGTCCTAGGAATGGATTCTGACTCAAAGTAACCCTTTAGGACAGAGTAGACCTTCCCCCATAGGTTGCCGAGGATGTCGTATTTTGGCTCATCTGTCCATTTGACTCGTCAGTTTGTCTACTGTGCTGGCTTGCATGTTACTGTGACGCTGGAAGCTTTGTCACTGGTGTTCCAATACCAGCAGGATCATCCATGGAGGACAGATTTCAGTGGAGCTCCTAGGCTCAGGTAGACTAGGAGGAACTTTGTGGTCTGCTTCTGAAAGGAAAAAAAGGCCACACGAACCTTGTAAAGGGCAGAGGAACATGGTCTCGTACAACTTGGATGATAAGCCCCTCATGTTGGAAGGCGTGTTAGTCTGGGTAAACTAGAGAAACAAATCCACGGACACACATGTGTATAAGAAAGGGTTTTATATACAAGAGGAATTGAACATTGAGAAAACATCCCAACCCAGTCCAGTCCAAGGCCATAAATCCAACATTAGCCTACATGTCCGATACCAATCCATAAAGTCCTCTTCAGACTCACAAAACACATGAATGAAGCCAAATGCAGGATGATCACAAGCCAGTGGGTAGAAAGTCTTTGGGTCCGGTGGCGTGGTAAGCATCTCAGCGCTGGCTGGGGTCTCTCTGCAGCTTCTCCGGCTTCACAGGTCTGGTTGCGTCCATGTGCCTTGTCTTCTGCAATGTCTCCCAGGGAACGGCAGAGAGAGAGGTGTCTTCTGCTTCCGAGGAGGAAGTACCAGAATTCTCAGGAGAAGGCCATGCCCACACAGAAGTCTCATTGGCTATCTCCAGATTGACAGCCTAGGCTCCGCCCCTACACTCCCAATCCTTAAATTGACACCAGATTAGGTGACTACCACAGAAGGCATTCAGAATGTGATTTGGGAAGAGGTGCATGCTCAAAGTAGCGTCGACCTTAATGACGTGAATAGAGAAAAGATCTCAGGATCTTCCTGTGCTGCTGTGGCATGACTGCGAATGAGAATAAAGGGTGCCAAACAGCCACTCATATTTAAAACATGGAATGCATAAAGTATGAAGTTAAGAAAATTGGAAGTTGTGGCTACAACAAGGAGCTCAAACAACCACGCGGTGCCGGGCAATGTCCTGTGTGGTTGTAGCAAACCACTATTGGTCAG